GCTCGGGTTGCTGGGCTGAGTGTGTGTTTTGATTTCAGGGCTTCTTGTGCTGTGCCCTCAGCATTAACCCTATTATGTACTCTCTGTGCTTGTGAGACCTTTGTGTTTGTGTGCGTGTGTGGAACCTTGTTGGATGTTGGCTTGGGCAGTTTGCTTTATATATAAAGCGGGGCGAAAGCCTTTTTCGGTAAAGTATTTATACACTACTGATCTGATCGCTACCTGAAAATCTTCATCACTGACAAGGTTTTATAAGACAATATGTTATATACAGTGTGGTCAAGTTTAGAAGATTCAGTGCAATTCGACTGAATATCTTGCCTTCAGGTTCTTCTATTGAAAATTTGAAATGAACAAAGGTTCCTAGATCAAACATACATGACTGCAACTCCTAGTTTTGTATGACTGCGAGTCAGTGACATGGACACTACATATTTGTATTGCTAGGCTTAGTACCTCTCAATCAAATTGATAACCAGTACATGCAAGAGTCTATTATATTTTGTACTTGCACACATTATTTTTGACAATCATCACAAATTTTATCCATGCAAACACAGTAAAATAGTACATTAGTCAGAGGAGATGGAATCAAATCCATCTGGATAATTGTGATTTCTGATTAGTCTCAATTACCTCGTCAGAAACATACCTTTTTATTACAGAAGTCATATCGAGTTAAGACATTACAAAGATCAAAACAAATGGGGCTTATTCTTCTTGATCATGTCCTATGTTCTGTGCCGGAAAGATTGGCAGACAGATCATAGTGATGGCAGAGATATCGATCTGCCGAGAAGCCTAGGTGTTGTGTTAAATGTGTTCTGTCTAAATTAAGTATAAGCTCTAATCTGCACAAGAAATCCATAACAAACACGCATCTCTCACTATGATATATGGATCCATGCATGCATCTGTCGGCCGAGCGCCTGAAAAAGATAGACTACTTTCGATCAGTCCATCTACATATATCTGTTTTGCTAATAAGAAGGAAACGCCAAGGAAAGTTTAAAGATAGTAAAGCCAAGCACTGCATATGTGTTGCAATCATAGTTGCACACGACAGGCGAGTGGAGAAGGGAGATAGGAACGGACGATCGATCTTTCCCCCCACAATATATAGAGTAAGCTCCCCCACAATATATGCATGTGTGAATGAGCTTTGAATTTCCTTGCATATAGTGGTTGACATACACGAGGTGGAGTTTTCACTATATATTCATTCCTGCAACAAACATATATAACCAGGGAAGATAAGCATGAATGACAACAAGCACTTAAAATACTTAAATTAAACCCTCTAAACTTCTCCCCCATTGGCAACAAATGCCAAAATGGGAAAAATCTAGAAGCATTCTACATGTGATCTATTACAGATGCACCAAGATATTATGATAGGAAATAAGCACAGATGGAATATATTCTACGCAGGTCGACCCTTCATTTGATTGCATCCAAAACGAAGTTGGATACTCCAATACTCATGCAAAAGGAAGGTAGATTATCAGGCAAAGACAACAAGGGCCGAGACACCCCCTCCCCCTCCCGCATCACCCTCGAGCGGCGACCGGGGGGAACCCTAAATGCGGCCCCGCCGTGCCCTTTCCCACCTTCCCCCGCATCCCCCGCCGCCGCCCCGAGGCTCGGCCGGGCAAAGCCCGACCGGAGCGGGCGACAGCGGGGCCCTCACGTTCCCTCGATGGCCGGGGCTGGCGCCGCGCGGCACCTCCGTCTTGGGCACGGCGCGGATGACGGGCGTAGCAGCGCGGCGGCGCGCGGGCTCCAGATGGCTGCCGGTGCTCCTGCCGGGCTTCAGGCGGCGTGGCTGGTGGTGGGCGCGCGGTGGCAGGGATGGCGGCGGGGATCTGCTCGGCGCCGACCTCTTCTGCTCGCGGTGCGGGCCGGGAACAGTGTGGCGGGTGGTGCACGCCTGGCCGCGGCGGTCGTCTTGACCGGCAGGCGGCGCGGGCCCATGTGGCTTCGGCTGGCTGCCACGGCTCCCCTCGCAGGCGTGGTGGCCAGTGCTGTTGGCCTCTGTCCTGCCTGGGCGTTGGAGCCTTGGGTTGGGCAGGAGAGCGGTGCGGGCCTGCGGAGCGGCGGCGGCGTGGCAGTTGTGGGTATGCAGGCGATGCAGGGTGGTGGTGGATGCTTCCTTCTCCTGGATGTGTGCCGGTGGTAGGCTCGGATCTTGGGTTTGTGCTTGGGCGGGCCAGGTCAGGGCCCGGGGGGGAGGAGGGATCGGAGCATGTGCTTCGGGTATGAGTGTCTGGGCTTGGCTTGAGAAGTGCTCATGGGTCTCCTCGCGGGTATGGTGCTTGATGGTGGTGGTCGTGGTAGCGCTGTGTCAGTGTGCGGATAGGCGCCGGTGACCATGGACATGGCGTCGGGTGAGTTGGCCTGGCCAAGGGCCCGTGGCTAGCTCGTCGCCGACGGTCGGCAGTCTCAGGGTTGTGTCCTCCCGAGTCCACCGAGATTGGCTTGGGATGCGGGTGTGGGTGCCTCCTACGGTGGAGGCGCCTACCCAGACTCGGAGATTGATGCCGGGCTACGAGTAGATGGAGTTTCGTCACTCCTCCCACCCTGGTTGAGTGCGCTGTGATGTGGCGACATGGATGTCGGGGCTGCGCCTCCAGATGGTGGTTCGCATGATTGCTCTTCGGCGGGCTTCATTGCGGTGGTGGTGGCTCCCCTCCCGGGTTGTGTGGGCAGCGGGAGGTGTTGCGGTGCGTAGCTCGGACGTGCCCTCTCTCTTGGAGGGGCGGCATCCAGATCCGGATCTGGAGTCTTCCAGCGTCGTGCGCCTGGCGACCTCATAGTGACACGGATGAGTTGCCAAGCAAAAGCTCTTTGCCTTGGCGCCGACGATGGCGACACCCGAGGGTGCTGCACTCTTCTTGAAGACGTCCTCGTGGTTCT